CGAACTGATAACGACTGTAAGATCCAAACTACGTTTGGACTGCTGGACAGCTGTCTGGATGAGTTAGATACGCGCCCTCGCCCGATTGAAACCAAAACAAAGCAATTGGGTAAGATAGCGGCTCTATAATTTATCATAAAATTAAGTGTACATTATTACCTAAACAAATATAACCACTCAGCTATCCAACCAATAATTGTTCAATTGATCAAATCTAAACTACAATAAATAAGAAAGTTGATAAAGGATGCAAGAAAATTACCAATCACCACAAATAAATGTTATTCTATCCTGTCTGGATAGATCACGCACAGATTCGTTCAAAAGGTAATAATTGGTCGCTCTATAACACAGAGTGTTTTCAATTCCGGAAGAGTGCTTCACTTCACAACCAAAATGCACAATTCCAGTCAACACAGGTCAAGCAATCAAAGCAGGAACAAACCAAAATATCTGCCGCCAAGACTAAGTGTCAAGTAAAACAACATATGTGCAGTTCGGGTAGAAACATGGGGAATTAGTGGAGGTGTAGTAAAAACGAAAACTATAATAAAATACAGATATTAACAATTCAAATGTAGCCAAAAAGTTAACAATGTACAACTAAGGGGATCAATAGGAACAAAGTGCAAGTAAATACATGGAGGGATTTTCACAGACACACAAAGCATTCAAAATGGATCTTACAACGACCGAGCGTACAGGCAATACAAACATATAAGGGACATTTGCACGAAGGCTATAAGAGAAGACAGGCTTCAGTACCAGACAAAGCTTATGGACAAATTTGCCTCTAATTGTAAAAGTTTATTCCGTTATGCAGCCTCTATTCGTCAAGCAAAAACTGGAGATTCCCAACTGGTAGGTCTCAACGGCCCGACCAACAACGATGGCGACGCCGCTAACCTCCTGGCTGAACATTACTCCCAGACATTTCAACCGCCTGACATCAATTTTACTGATGACAGTTTCATCTGCAATTCCGCAGGACTTTACGAAGTGAACCTAAGCGCTGACTTAGTGTTCCGGAAACTGCAGCACTTTAGACTGGACACTGCTGTTGGCCCGGACATGGTCCATTCCGCCATACTGAAGGAAGCAGCCTCAATCCTGGCAACGCCGCTTAGCGTGATGTTTTCACACTCGCTAAGTCGAGGAAAACTACCGGAAAATTGGAGGCTGGCTCACGTCACACCAATTTTCAAAGGAGGTCGACGCAGCGAACCTTCAAGTTACCGACCGGTGGCTCTTCTCTCACTACCTTCAAAAATCATGGAGTCCCTGATATGCGATGGTATAAATGACTAGTTGCTATCCTTAAATTTCTTCTCACCCCAACAGCATGGTTTCAGGAAAGGTTACTCATGTAATACCAACCTGCTGACTGTGGTGGACAGATGGACAAGCATACTCAATCACAAGAGGAAGGTTGACGTCATCTACCTAGATTTCTCAAAAGCTTTTGATCAGGTTAACCACTTGTGTCTTATCAACAAGCTCAAACGACTGGGTATCAAACCACCTCAAGTCGATTAGCTTACTTCATACCTAAAAAATCGACACTTCAAGGTTAGGGTTAATTTCACTTTATCTGAGGCTATGGAATGTCCTAGTGGGGTCCCCCAGGGCTCAGTACTAGGGCCTCTTCTCTTCTTGATCTACACAAATGATCTTCCTCAACAGGTAATGTCAGACTTATTACTTTTTGCCGACGACATGAAACTTTGGAGAGAGATACGCAACCAAAACGATATACAGGCACTTCAGGAGGATCTGACGCGACTTCAAAGTTGGGCAGACGATAACGGACTTACCTTTAAAACTTCAAAGTGTAAAGTAGTCAATCTGAGACATGTCACAGACTGCAGTTATAACTTAGAAAACTCCTCTCTAGTAGTATCCCAAGTCGAAAAAGATTTAGGAGTCCTGGTGCCCCATGACTTAAAGTCTTACGCTAACTGTGACAAAAATGCCTTCCGAGCAAACCTTGCACTGCTAACGTTGAGGCGCATTTTTGGCCAGTTTGACGGAAGAACTTTCCACACAATCTTCAATAGTTTCACCCGTCCCCATTTAGAGTACGGAAACATAGTACTCCCCCCCTCACTCCAAAAGGACAAGGTCACTTTGGAGCGTATCCAACGGCGAGCCACGAAATCAGTTCGAGGACTCAAATCTAAGCCTTACGAAGAACGCCGCCGTTCACTAGACCTTTACCCACTAGAATATAGGCGTCTTAGAGGTGATTTATTAATGGCTTATAGTATTCTTAACACTTCTGGACATCCTCTTAAACACCTACTTAAGCTTAGTTCGAATAATAACCTAAGGGGTAACACCCAGAAACTGGAAACACAACATAGCAAGACGGAATGTAGACACAACTTCTATTCCTTAAGAGTTGTCAAAAGCTGGAATTCGCTGCCGGCCGAGCTAGTCCAAGCGACTTCTCAGGAGTCCTTCAAGAGGCAACTTGACCTATTCTTAAGAACCAAGGACAGCATCACACTATGATTTACCAATTTCTTTTCCTCTTTTATTGCTAACATACCTAGGTTCCTGCCTGGAGGATTTGGTGATCTCCTGCCACTAGACACGGAAGCCTGTTAAGCGAAAGCTTCTTCTATTCCATCAACAACCATTTGAACCATTTGGACTAATAGATGTTGGGCAGCATATTATTTCGGCGCGCTAGTTATTTGTTGTGCTACGTTGCTAGTTACAGTAAGGCGACAGTAGTCTGTCTACGGGTACGCATCATTTAATGTGAATACTGGCTAGAGACTGTTTTTGTAAACTTGGTTTGCGGACCAATTAAGTAGGCAGTATCCTTTCTAGAGCATCGTATTTACATTTTTAATCAACCAGTTCACAGCTAGCTGCAGCTGTGATAGTCATAGCTATAACTATTATATTCCCTGCAAATCAGCTTGTCTGACTAATTAGAGATGGTGCCGTGAACAACCTGGAGATTACTAATATCTTTTCACTGATAAACTCAATTTCTAGGTTTCTATTCCTGGGCCCAAATAATTGACCATAGTTTATAGCCTAGCATATGCAAAAAAATGTGCAGTGGTCATGTTTTGTGCAAGATATCCTTGATAAGCAATTAGGTGAGGGTTTCGTTGACTGGGAAAGTATCTTTCTATTCATTTTTAGCGAAACGTTACACACAACTGAATGGACATCCCCGAAACGTTTTTGACTGATGCTAGACATCCGTCAAGATTTCGAGGTTAATTCTGCGAATTTCGGAGTTCACTCAATCTGTTGCGTCTAAAAAGTATCTGACTACCTATCATTAGCTAGATATATGGTTTGAAAGTGCATTGGTATTTTAGGGTGTAACATAATTAAGGGATGGACGACGCTAATTTCAAGCCTAACCGACATCAAGCGTGACACGTGTGCGTTAGCCCAATTCACCTTTCGGCACTAACACGGTAGGATAATATCAATAAGATAAGTAGAAAGAATTCAGGATTATGTAGTAGCAATGACGATGACAATAGCATAGTGGATTTCAGGCACTTAGTCCCGGGCTCAAACCCTGCTCTACTTCGGCTTGTGTGGTCTGATAGTATCACTAATGCTCATACTTAGAATGTGTCTAGTTGTCAATTAAAAATAAGTATTGAGAATATGGTTTCAGAATACAAAAAAGTATACATGAATAAAGATTTAAAATCTGCCGGAGATTGACTCATGAAGAGAGTGGTGGTTTTCGCTTTTGTATTAAATGTGCGCACTCGCCAAGTGTTGGGGCACCGCAACACATTTCAGGCCAGCAGTTGTTTTGTTTATTTGTCTCGAAACCTTTTATTCGCTGGATGGAACTGTACTGTATGATTTTCTATTGAAGAAAATTGCCTGGGAAGTTTCTCAGGGTACTGAAGGCGTTTTACACAAATACATCAGAAAAAATAAAGGGATACAACTACTCTGTAGTGTTCCAAACTATCTGTAGAATTAGGGTCGGTTGTTTAGTCTCATCGTTCTTTTTCTACCTATCCATAGCTGTCTTATTAAAAACAGCTCTAAATGATGTGGTTAGTCGTGGCATAAACGCTTTTAAACATCGATTATATTGATCACGTTGTTTAGCTCTACAATGCCATAATCTAACTTAGTCGCATTTAGTCGTTTGATACTTCTTGTCCTTAAGTAAAACATGTAATTTGATCCTTTAGGATGCAAAAGATGTTGCGCTCTCTTTGATGGATTAAATTTAATAGACTTTCTTGAACACATTTTTAAGTATATACGGGTAATTAGGTTATACTAAATGGTAGAGTCATTCAATTTAGTCTTTAGTAACTAAAATAAAGAGTGAGTAGTATTTTTTTGGTGAACAAAAATTTGTATATCTATGACATCAGTTAACGCTTCATGAATTACCACATTTTATATTCATTTTATTTCGCAACTTAGATGTTCTGTGTATATAATGTCATCCTCTCAGTCGCCTAATTTTTCTATCGGAAATTTGATCAATTCTTCAGAGGCAGTAAATATAATTGCTTTACAAGAATCTATGCTTACCAAGTTCGAAAAAACAAATGAGATGCTTCGAACGGTTTCTGAGCTTTCTGACGGAAGATGTAGAATACTGTTTACAGAATTAACTGCTCATACAAAGACAATAACATCACTAAAAAAGGAAATGGATGATGTCTTCAAACGTATCCGATCCATAAAAAAATTATTGTGTTCGAATTTTCCAGAGGATATGGAAAGACTTCATCAACATTTCTGTAGTAGAGATTCCGATGATAATGAAGGCTGTGATGTTATTCCGAAGGCGTTGCAGACATCGGATTGCGCAACAGTCTCTAAAACAATGGAAACAGTCTGTGAGGATTCTTCTTTGGAATAAAACAAACCATAGAAATGTTGATAACTTTTTATATGATTATAATATCGTATTTCAGTTTGTACTTTTATTTATTTAAAACATTAATAAGTGTTGTTAATCATTGGTTGTTTCTCTTTTCAGAATGTTTTCTTGCCTACAGATAATCAATGCCGTTTTTCAGGACTTCCAATCCGCACATACTTTACTATCATACTTAGTCTCGGAAATTAAACAACTAGCAAAAATTGAAGCTAGAGCAGTACGCGCTGTTCGTATCGCTTTCGTCATCCTAGCTTGTTTATTGTACTTGTTGATAGAATGCAATATTAGTAATAGGTTAGTTATAAATCCTCATATTCCTCATAAATTTAGCTTAACGTTGACAGCATTTACACATTTGTTGATATTCGACTTATTATCGGTTATTGTTGCACTAATAAGCTTTTGGACTAACAGAAAAAAAGCCTCCATTGAATCCTATAGCTTGGGGTATGAAAGATTTGAAGTAGTTGCTGTTTTTGCTTCCACTATCTTGGCTATCCTCTTATCGTTTTTCGAAATAAAAGAGGCTGTCGAACGGATATTTGAACCTGCAGAGGTGAGCATCTTCATTAAGGAAAAAATGTTAATATATTCATGTGATTATAAAATTTTTGGCGTCATGTGTTCCAGGCATTCCATTTCGGATGAAACACTTTACTTTCCACTTAAAATTTACTGTCATACAATTAATATACAAAACTATATTGTGATTCGTAAATTAGATGTACATCTATTTTTTGCGATGAAACACGAACAACAGTAGTCTTAATAAATTTTCGGATGGCTTCACTGTCTATATCTCCAACAATCCCTTTCAACCGTCAAACTGTTAAATAAATACCTAAAACCGTTTAACCATGTGTGGTTCGTGACCAGCTGCAGAGTGATGGTTTTTCTAAAGTCCTTACTGGAGATTCGGATCAACAAGTCATCTCGAGTATTCATCGTAGTAGCGTACTTTTTGTAGACATCCGAGAATTTTAGCATTGGATGACCAAAACTCCAATAATAACCTCAAGGTTCTGACCACCTCAGCGAAAGTGTCATTAATTCATAATTTTATTGTGTAAGTAGATCAAAAACGTAAATTATTAAGGATAATTTGGTCAAAACAAAACATGTTTAGGAGTTTCCATTGTTTTAAAATTATAATGTCCTCGAAACCAATCTAGTTAATTACTTCAAATATTTAAGTGTAACATACAGTACTAGTTGCTATTAATAGTAGTTTTTAGTTCTACATCTGATATCTATGTATACTTGGTTAATTATTTGTAACTACGACTTCAAATATGATGAATGAGACCGGTTCTATGCTCTTTCTCGACTACAAACTAGAGTGAGAAGTCAGAGTTTTTGTAAAAGCTCTTAACAGAGACACTAGAAGAATCAGGTTACACTCAAGTTTATTCAAATTATATATTGATCAATAAATACTTATAAATTACTGAGTGATTGTCACTGAATTCAAAATCATAATGAATTAATCAATACAATAAAAATACGCTGAACACTAACCAAGTGAAAATAACTTTAAACTGATGTTCAGACTTCAAGACTGATTTTTTTGCTCAAACGTTGTATTTGGGGATATGGCATTCTCAATAACGTCATGGACTGACTTTAGTTAAGTAATCATTGGAAAATAGGAAGTAATGGATAGCTGTTTTGTGCTAGTGCGGAATCCAATACTTCTCATCCACGGTCCCACCAAGAGTCAAATCCAAGACCAGGCCGCACGACGAATGCTTAATCTTCAAATAACTGAGTTAAGATTCAACGTTTTACATTTCTAACTTTAGTCGATGCTCCGTATTATACAGTCATCATCCACTAACATTGGTAATATTTATTTTATACTCGACGTGAATGAACTACACAATTAATGGCTCCTTGCTAGAACTCAGGGGGTCACTTCTCAAGGCTAGTCACATGATGACTATTAGTGTAAGAGGGTGCATCTGGCATGAGAAAAATCACTAATGGAAATGAATCATATTCACATAATGTTTCCAATTGACTGAAGTTAGAAATGTAAACTGTTAAATCCGAATTCAGTCGTCTAAAGGCTAAGTTAGCAAGTCAGTTATATGCAACATAGAACTTGACATATGCTCAAGCTACCATACCACATTAGCATAATGAGATAAAATTATCAAGGTAAATCTCAAAGCAGCAGAATTAATAACAGTACCATTGGTAGTAGGAGAGATTAGGTGTAGAAAAAAGGTATAAGAAATTCCAGAATTCAGAAACCAAGGGGAGATAAAGAATGAATGCACCTGCGTTATTGAGGCGGACTCCAAGCTATGCCAGTAATAGCATTACTGTAGTTGCGCAGACCCCAACCAAGTAATCTGCATGTGATTTTATGGACAAGTCTAACAGTCATCGACCCCATGGATGGTGCCACATCTACGTTTGGCTTCCCTTAATTTTCTTCCATCCTAGTCCTACACTACAGAAATACGTAATAAATTCCTCAACCAGCTTAGTTGATGAAGATCCGCTGCTTCACTAATCAAATTCGCTGTCGTACTTAGATCTCCCAAATGTCTTAGTACGGACGAAAGTGGAGAGAGTCAGCTCTCCATCTCGAAATGCTCTCACATGGCCACGTGCACACGACAACTGCCAGGGAAGTTCTACTCACTGCATTCTCGCAGAATTACTGTTGCTTATGAAATTGAGAGGACGAAAAGCGAATGTCAGATGCTTTAACTGGGTTGGTGGATACGGAGAGTCCACCTAGAGGAGCTGGAAAACCCTGATTCCAATGGTGCACATGGGTTCCAGTATCCTGATGGAACAAAAGGTGTATGAACCTATTGTTGGTGACCGGCTACCATAAAACTGCATCTCCGTACGTTGCTCTACTGCCTTGTGGATTAGACCTTTAGGTCGAAAGCTCGGGGTGTGACCCCCTAGGAAAACCACCTGCTTCAGTCTGGGCACCCGGGCGGTATCACAGCCCTCACATAAATCTGTGATAACTGCTACTGGCCTCATTGTTATTGTGTGGTGCATATCTATTTGGTGTCCCCCTTGTACCAATATTCATGTGTTCAAACAAATGAATAATAAATATCTAACCTTGGTTGGCTCACTCGGCGGTCTCAAAATACTCAAGCACTGGTTCGACGACACCTATGATGGAATATTAGTAACCTACAAATATCCTCTATTCTTAGAGTCCATGTTTCACAGCACGGTTAAGTGTTCATTACAAGGTCCGTAGATTCTGAGTTTGATGTTTAGTGGAATTGTTCTTCAGTGTTTTCTCAAAGTTTCCTATTAAGTTTGAAAATACGTTTGCTACAGCATCAACGACTCGGTATTCATTTGTCTCAACAACCATATAATAATGAGTTTTTGCCCAGTTTCTTTCGGATGACCAATGTGAAATGTAACAGTTAATATGTATTTTTTTATCTGTACATGTTTGGTGAAATTTTAATGTACAGACTTAACTGGTTTCAGCATTTTTTTGTGTTTCATAATTTAGATCTCTTCTAATCATATGCTCACGCCTTGTTTAATAGCATTTGGTGTTCATCTTCTTTCCGTTTATGGGATTGATAATATGGCTTTTGCACATGTTATCCAAGCTTGTGGATCAAGTTGGCTACAAGTCAGTCATATATACGTATATGTAAAAATTATTTTCCAACTAATTTTTATTAAGCATTTCATTCATTAGTTTGTTTAAGGTATCTATCTTCATCAGTTCTAAAAATATTCAAAAAAGCCAATAACTGGCTTAAATATCAAGGATTCCCTTTAATAAGTTTGTTGTAATTATCGCTTTATCAGGGTTTTGAGTTCGGCTACAGATCTGTTGTATAAAAAGGCTATGAACTCTTTGTAGTCTTTTTACTATCAATACCAATACTAGATATTAAGCTACTATAGGTGGACGGAGAGTCAATAAGTTGGAGGTAGTGGCAATATTATTAACTACAATATGTCATATAAATAGCATATGAACTCATGAACATTACTTATATAATCAAATAAATCTAAATCAGTAATATTAAAAACAAAATCATTGAAAGTCAACAACCTAAATATTGTAGTGTTATTTAAATACTACTCACTAAATGAAATATTTTTCTGCTGATTAAGTGAATAAATGTTATGTGCTCTCTTGGATGATTTCTCCATCATCTACATAATAAGTATACAGAAGGGTACTTAGGACTTTTTGAATTCTTCTTGTGTGTTGTTCGACTATTCAAAATTAGCTGAAAATATCAAGCAAATGCATAAATCTGCTAATTTTTGTTGCTGAAATGGCAGTTGAATTTACAATCATGACTTCGCACTGAACGAATAATTAACCAGAAACTATGGTGTTCTAAGCAACAGTAAAAGGATTCAAAGCATTGGATAGTGTTGTAAACTTATATTGTCTGGAGCTTCATAAATAACTGGACTGAATGTGTAATTTTAACTTTACTGACCTCTCTGTTCAACTGCTCGCAAAAAATGAATTTTCACGAATGAACTTGAATTTAAATGTTAACAACAATTATACATCTTTTTCTAGGATGAAAAGATTGAAAACGTACGTTTCTGCAGGATAAATTTTATTTCAAAAATTACACGGATTGTGTTAGGTAATAAAAATGGCTATTTCAAATTGCCACTCATTATCCATTTTGAAACAATATTGTATCATTGAGTTAACATACACACCATGCTGCAAGTATTTGATATACATCTTATCATGAAAATGGTAACAACCATTATCTCTACTTGAATAAAAAGTATCTGGTACCGGAATACTATTAGTATTAATGCCCGAACTTGGAACAACGACTAATCTTTCTAAACATCAATCAGTAACGATCAACAGTTAGCTTGGTAAATATGACTGTTAGTCCAACTTATCATGCCACATTAACGCGATAAAATAAGTTTGAAAAGATGAATGGCAAAGGAATAGGAATAGTATGGCAGCAATGATTGTAAGAAATAATAAACATTGGTAATACGGTTTGAAAAGACTGGATGAGAAGGTACGTATGAAGGAATACTTGAACCCAAGACCAGGATGTAGATGAAAAAATAATGCATCTACGTCACCGTTACTGATTTTGAGATATGGTACCCAACGTTTCTAATCACCGATCACGACTATCGAGCGCACCCCAACTAGATAGGCATCGTCTGACATGATGACCATAACGTCATTAACCATCCATGTAGAAGCTTAGTGGATGATTGCTACTCATTCTAGAGCACATGTCTAGACTCTGATCGTGCTTTAGTACGAGCATGGGTTTGTTTGTCTTACCTGACATAGAAAAGCTTCCTTTTAGAAAATAATCTTTCGCAAAGTTGGGTTTGGAAACCTTATTGGATACGAAGTGATGTGTAATCATAAACTTCCTTTCTCCCAATGAAACAGTTCTTTTAGTCCAAATTCTAGCCAGTATTAGTTTTTACAACACTATAAGTTTTCGGTCATTTAAAACACAATTTATCATTGATTCGGTTAATAGATTATTCTATACTAAGTAATGTGAGCTTATTTATTAACCCCAATCACTTCTTTACGACTGAATTCATGAAAAACTTGCTATTGAACCATTATACGTAAACATAATGTCAGTGGCAATCGTTCATAAAAAAACAATAACTGACGTAAGCATAATAGGATAAATATTAATCGGTTTATATAAAATAGTAAATATATTAACAGAATTTATTAACTAGAATGAACTGGACTCATAGGAAATAACGTGAGAATAACACCCGTTAACTGATCTCTGATCAATAATCTATACTTTTTCAAATATTTTGAAATATAGGAGCATACGACTGATATAAGCCGGACAATCTGTCGAATTATTCCCGGGTTATCACGTGTTCTTTTGCCACGAGTTAACCCAATCTCACTGATTGGTGTAAGTACAACTACAACTGTTTGTATTGTTTACCTCATATTAATCAATATGTCAAAAAAGTCACAGCATATCAACTTTCCAGACCCTTTGCCTGATACTTTGGGCGGAATAATAATTTCCCTTATGCTGTTTGGAACAATGATGCCTATGATGTTGTACAGGTGATTCGAATTTTTTCTTTTGAACAGTATTTTGTGTATATGATGTTATTTATTTGAACACATAAATATTGGTACAAAAGGGCGTCATGCAATAACAAACAGAATGTGAAGAGATAGAAAATGTAATGTGCGTATAAGAAAAAGGGGAACAATAACGAACAGAATTTAGTATATGATAGTGAAAATATAATGATGGGAGAAGCAGTTCAGTTAGCAAAGGTACAACCAGAAAGAATTCTTCCAGTTAAAGAAGTTACGTCCATTTCTTACGAAAGTAAAATAAATTTACAGCAGGATCGCCACTGACTTCTATTTTTAGCCATATCTGATAACGTCTCTAGCCACTGTGTTGCATCATCTTTAGGACCCCGACCAGGGAGTCGTGAAGGACCAACACAAGCCAGTTCTGTACAGTTTTCTTCTATACCACGACACCATGTCATAAACTGACCACCTCTCCGCTTTTTCTAACCAGTCCCAGCGTGACACCAACTGAATTATCGTCGCTGTGCCCGAACTACGATCCCGAACCTATGAATTACTAACATGGTGTTGCCACTGGATGTCAGCAATCCTTCGGAGACAACGATGATCAAACACAGAGAGTCGTTTATTACTCAACCCGGAAAGGCCAGGTTTCACAAGCATAGAGCAAAAGTGGTCTCACCGACGCGTTGTAGATCCGACCTCTTACAGCCAGACTGACATCATGAAGGCGCCAAAGATGGCCCAAATTGGCATAAGCCACTCTGGCTTTCACTATACGTGCATTGATCTCATCACTCACGCCACCACCAGCACTTATGTAGCTACCCAGATACACAAACTTCTCGACTACTTCTATCTGCTCACCATCCAGGGTGAGTACAGGATTGGAATCCTGCCAGTCTTGTAGAAGTACTTTGCATTTCGAAGGTGTGCAGCACATACCATACCTACGGACACTAATTGCCCACTGACTAAGTGCGAATTGCATGGCTTGGGTAATCTCACACAGTAAGACAATATCATCCACATACTCAAGGTTAAGAACTCTCTCCAGGCAACAGATTCACGCCGCCATTACCTACATCCATCAGAGCTGTTTCCAGAATGTCATCGATGGCAAAGTTGACGAGGAATGGTGAGATTGGACGACCCTGTCTAACCTCACTGCTTGAATGGAACAATGGAGAGAGGTGGTTGTATGCCCTAACTCTGCCTGAGGTGTTTGCATATAGGGCTTTTAGGATGTTAATAAACTTCACAGACACACTTTTCTTAAATAGATAACCCCAGAGAACAGTCCTGTCCAACGAATCGAAGGCAGCCCTGATGTCAAGAAACACTATTGTTGGCCTGTGATAAGTATGACGGTGTGTTAACATTTGGCGGAGGGTGAAGATATGATCAATACATCCTCAACCAGAACGAAAACCAGATGGCTGTTGCATAGGTGACGTGAACCCTTTTTCAAGATAGGGACAATTATCGACTCATCCCACGATGCTCGAACACTAATTGCTAAAACTTTGTAAACAACACAGTCAGTTCCTTAACCAGAAAGTCACCACCATCTTTAGAAAGAGTCGGAGGTAAGTCATCTGGGCCAGGTGGTTTGTAGCGCTTCAAGAGTTGGAGTTCCTTGCGGACTTCCGCCTCATTTGGTGGATCAGCCGTTACAGGTCATGGAGGGCAGGATAGTCTAATCGGTGTTGCCGGAGCGACAGACCAGTTGAACTGGCTCTCGAAAATCTTTGCCCATCGTACAAGACGTCGATAGATTGTTTCGCTCACACCAGACTTCTTGCTGCCAGTGGTTCTGATGAGTTGAAAGAGATTCCGATAATTACCAGATGCAGCTGCTGCTTCCAACTCATTGGCACGCTCTGACCACCAGGCTTCTCGATCCTTACGCCAGCTCTGCCCAATTTCATTATTTAACAGTCGATTTTAGTTAAACTCACAGTCGCCCGGAGTAGACTGACGGGTATCGATGAGTTGTAAGGAGCCTGAAGAAACCCAGTGCTTATAAGAGGGACGTTTTGTGAAGCCGCAAGTGGCTTTACTCGCCATTTTCATTACGTCATGCAGATGCGTTCAATGCTCATCTATACTTTTTGGTGAGATGGTAGCAAATAACCTTGAACTTAGCTCGGTTTGATACTTAGTTGCAACAGAAACTGCAACTAATTTACTGACGTCGATCCGTTTAGGATGATGAATTTGTTGGGCAATGAAATGTAAGGTAAGATTAGCGCAAACAAGGGCATGATGACAGTCCAGATATGTACTCCAAAAGCAGCGACAGTCATATACACAACCACGCCAGCGGTAGCTGATCGCGATGTGATCAATTTGAGTCTACAATTGAGATGCAGAGGGAGGGAGACATGTGGCACATCGGCAGTGACTGTGCCCGTAGTTAGTGCTAGTCAGGAACAGGTTGTGGTCTGCGCAGTTACAGTGGACGGTCACCATTATCTGACCTGCGACCAACTAGTCCCCATCGGCCACCTAAATAACTCTTTTCTGTTTACAATTGATTGATCACTGGGTAGTGATCAATGTCATGTGTGTCAAGTCCTTCTTAGTGCAGATCGAATGCTATCCACGAAGTTGCAATGTGGCCACCTGTCTAGGTGACTCGACATTGTGTGCACTATGTTGAGATAAGATGGTGGTTGGAGGTAGTCAACAGGAGGTCGGTCGCTGCCCGGATAGCCCAGTGGTAACGTTTCTGGCTGTGAAGCTGGATGACACGGGATCGAATCCGTCGGGGAGCACTAGTTCCCTCAAGATTTCAGGTACACCTTGCTGACGTGTGCCAAGTATCACGAAACCTGGGTCCAGGGTTTCCTGTTGACTACCTCCAACCACCATCTTATCTCGACTCTCTTCTGTGCCTAGATTCCCGACCTGAGTATCCAAGTCTCCGGCTAGTACTACAATATCTGTCCAACGCACTTTTTGTAGAAGAACTGTTAATCGGTAATAAAACTCATCCTTGATCACATCCGGGGTGCAATCTGTCGTAGCATAGGTGGAGATGATGAAAAGACATCTCTCACACTGATTTCTTCTTACTTTGATGGAACTTTCTAATCTAACAACACATAACCGACTGTTAATGGGGATCCAATCGATTAGTGCTGCCCCATCTCTAGCGCTTAGTACAACAGCAACACCAGCAAAACTAGACGAAGATGCTACAGGGTCCTCGGATAAACTCACATAAAACAAGCTTTTTGAAGCGATAGATGGAGAACGGATTTGTAATACTTCACTAGAGTCTTGAATACGGGTATCGGATAGACAACAGACGTCGATATTAAGACTTTCTAAAGACATAGTCAACCCTATCTGTTGTTCAATCTGCATTAGTGCGCGGACGTTGAAGGAAACCAGTTTGAATGGTGCACGTGGTTTCAGAAAAACTGCTTCAGTATTCGTATTTGGTGGTAGCATACAATATTAAACCGGGCAGTGACTCGAGAACGTTTAGATAGAACCGAGTTTCCACCATAGGCGAGCTGCTGTATAAGTTGAAAAATAAAGATACTCAAAGTGGGAATAAAAGAGAGTGTGTAAGTGACTCAGTATATAAAAAATAAAAATGAATGTTGTCAAATGGATATGAGTTGTCTGAATTTTAATTGAAAAAAGAACAGTACTTCTAGTAAATATTGTCATTTCATTTGCGTGTGGGCTGTGATACTGCCCAGGCGCCCAAACCGAAGCTGGTGGATTTCTTAGGGGGCCAAACCCGGACCCTTTGACCTAAAGGTTTAATCCACAAGGCTGTGGAGCAACTACTACGCATTTAAATCTAAAAAATCACTGAGTTCATCGTAATTCTCATTAAGCCAAGGGTATTGATTTAATAATGGCTTATATCCGATTATGCTACTTAACGCATATGTGAAAGACTATGTATGATTCATGACCTAAGATTCAACCATGTGTCTATAAAATAAGAACCATCAAAAAGTGAGAATGTATGCAGCTCGCTTTGTTTCTACAATAAATTTTGGCAACGAAATGTTCACAAAAGGAATGCACATTTTTAAAGAAAGCTCAACTACCACAGGTCCTTTAAAATCTGACTGGAATCTGGTATTCATAAAAACGTGATTATTCTATGCAATTACATTTCCATATAGGCGTTCCTCTACTGCTTACGGGATGCAGTCAAAGTATAAGAGGAATAGATTATTTAATTTGTGGGGTGAATTTTTCATACCAATGTTTAATGCTGTTTGAGCTTAGTCTACTACGGTTCTTGCTATTATTTTTAACGTTATACGTAAAAGTTATGCGTATACAAGTAAGAAGAGCATCTGATGTCAATGATCACAAGTGTGCCATAGTCTGTACTGTGGTACATAGCAAGTGAATTGCGATAGTAAAAGACCGAATATGGTTGATAGGGTGTTGTACAGATAGCTGTACTTTTAGTACTTTACATACTTATTTCTCCTTCCACGCTGTGGGGAGCTGGAAAGTGACAACCACCCTCATACCTATAATAGCACTAGAATTTCTGTTGTTCACTGTCAGAACCTTTGATACTCCTTATACTCTCATCACCGATCCTTCTCCTACGACTTTATCTTTATTTACCACCAATGCTAAATATTCGGGTCCACGAGATGTTATTACTGGTTTCTTGAAACCGAGTTCTAAATTACTTATTGAAGCTCTCAGCATTTGAATCAAATAAGCCAACAGGATTCCTTAGCTAGGACTCCAGAATCCTGTGCTATTGATGTATAATGCATCTCCGAAACACATGCAGGATCCAAGTGTGGTCATTTACTTGACCTGACCCAGTCAATACAGAGAACCTGCACGATTTATGCTCCGTGTATCTGGAGACTTGACTGACATATTTTGTGGCCCCACTGGCGCAGGTAAAGCACGAAGTCGAAAAGCGGGACGGGCTCTGAAACGATTCAGACAAACAATCGCTTGCTCGCTGCCCGACTAAATAGGAAGGTAAGAACACAGAGAGATTAAGAGACAACCCATCGCCTTCACATCACAGGGTACGCTTCCGCCGACTGCGAGTCGAATGAGTTTCTTGGGAAACTTTCTGCTCTCTTAAAAGTCAAACAATCGAATGTAGTAGTCCACACAGGCAGTTCAAACGAAAGTAGAAAACACTTAGGTTGGTCTTACATGGTTCCAGCCCAACGGATAGGCAGCGACGACCACGCACTACAAATATGCTCAAACGACCGTTAATTCTCAACAAGTACCAACTTTAAGCATAGAGCCATTGTCTGACATGACGACCCCTATAATATTGACGCAAATAAATAACGACGCCACCTGCCATCGTTGAAGAAGCTCAATGGAAAACTGCTGCTCATTCTAGACTATGATAATGCTTTAGCATGTGTTTGTTTGTGTTGCACCTGGCAAGTAGAAGCTACAACAAGGAAGCTCCTTACAGTTCAACTTAATGACGAAAATGTCAAGAAGAGGGTGCTATTATTAACTATCAATCCAGGATACTGGGACGATGGATAGAATAGTGTGAAAGCAGTTCAGTTGCTTTCCAGCTATCCTTCGATTGCCTACTCCCACCGAAGCAACCTGAATGTCATGCCGATATAACCATCCTTCTTTGTGATCGTCCCACTTAATTAGATATGACAAAAGCCCTTTTGTGACAACCACAGAGGAACCAGTTTAAATAATATAATTTCTAGAACACTGCCTAGATAATCGTATTTGTCTACTGTAAGGCAGCATTTCGTCCTGCAGATCAACAGGTTTTTTTCGAAGTATCCGCCATTAAAAGGCATACCAAGGACGCACATTAACCTTGTATAGGCTCTCTACTCCAAATACATCGAGGGTGAATCACGCTCTCAGAGACTGAATGACATGGCTTAGAAACGTTCGCAAAGACGCAGGTTCATTCACTCTGTCTTCCTTTAAATACTGAGTTTCTAAATTCCTCATAAATTTCTTTCTATCATTTCACTAATTTGTACTTCTCGAATTGTGTCTTGGATGCTCAACCTTTCCTATTACCATTGATGCTGTTACTACCTCTACTACTCTGTGATTCGCCTTGACAATTTCGTCACCATGTGTTAGTATGGTATGGCAGCTTGATTCGACGTACACGTGTGCCAGGTTCTACGTTGCATTTGACTGATTATCTACCATAAGACTCGTTTGTTAATTACTCTGGATCAAATCGCTTAGATACGTTGTTGTTAAACACTAATTTATGATTTTATTATAGTGGCCGGATACTACTTCAAACAACACCCGCTCACTTGGTTAGCCCCTTAGATAAAGCGCTTCGAGAAGCCTCTACAGTTGATGGTGTTCTTGAGCTGCAAAATGAGCATATATGGTCGATTGGATACAAGGACCTTGCAGGAAGTTTGTATGTTCGTGTTCGCCGGGATGCTAATGAGCAGTTGGTTCTAGCACACGTAACCAACCGTCTTTCCAGCTTGGTGAAATATTTAACAATACAGGTGTGTGGTTTTTTCTGTTTAAATATATAATGCTTTCATCTGTGTCAGTAAAAACTAGGTTTCAACTTGAATTCACTCAAATCCATCTGGGTGGCTAGAATATTATCTACCATAGTCACATAACATCTACAATGCGAATCCTAATATTTATTCTATTTATTTAAACGCATAAACATTGGTACAAGAGGGCACCGAATATATATGCGCAACACCAATCATTCAATTCGTGTGGGGGGCACTCCCCGAGCATTTGACCTGAAGGTTTAATCCACAAGGCAGTAGAGCAACGTACGGAGATGCAGTTTTATGGTAGCCGGTCACCAACAATAGGTTCATACACCTTTTGTTCCATCAGGATACTGGAACCCATGTGCACCATTGGAATCAGGGTTTTCCAGCTCCTCTAGGTGGACTCTCCGTATCCACCAACCCAGTTAAAGCATCTGACATTCGCTTTTCGTCCTCTCAATTTCATAAGCAACAGTAATTCTGCGAGAATGCAGTGAGTAGAACTTCCCTGGCAGTTGTCGTGTGCACGTGGCCATGTGAGAGCATTTCGAGATGGAGAGCTGACTTTCTCCACTCTCAGCTGTACTAGGGCATTTGGAGGCGAATCCTAATAAATCAAGTTGAGATGAGTTACTAAGCTTCACACGGGCTAACAGTCTTTGTAGTCATACCTCAATATTGTCTGGAACGTCCCTCATATACACTGATGTATGTTCCTAAAGCTTTACATGTTAGGTAGTGTTAGTCGGTGTTTATGATCCTCATAAGTAAACGAGTTATTTGGAAAAGTCTCAATTATGAAATTATCATCTAGCTCTTCAATAAACAAATTCAGACCATGTATCCGTCTATGTAGCTATATTTCATTAACCGTATGACATTGAATAACTCGTAAAAGTATGTTCAGCAGAAAATAAGACTAACCAGTTAATCAAAGTTATGGATTAATAACAACAGGCAGTTATTTAGAAAATGGAACAATATATGTAATTTAAGAAAATGCATCTCAGTTATTTAGTATTAAAAAAAGGAAGTTTTCTGCAATTTTAGGTTTATAAAGATGACTGGACGCGAGCAACAAACTCGTTTATCATGAATTGGTCACCCGCGAACAACGCACTGTATAATCAGAACATTCCTGGTACACAAGTTAGACCTGATCTAAAGCATAATCTACCGTCATCTTTACCTGCATCAGCCTCACATCACAAAACGCAGGAAGACAGTTATCAAGAACCTCAAGTTAATCCTAATCATTATATCTATGCGTAAACGTTTATCTCTTAACAGTTAGTTGATTGGAGCAAATGATCTCTTTTACACAAATTAACATGGTTGAGTATTTCACTTTTATTGTTGTATTAACATCTTGAAAAATATTTTCGAAAAATTATAAAAAGAGCAGCGTATTTCAAAGTCATTATCTGGTAACTTGGATTAGTTTTAATTTCGTTTGATCAAACTTCCAACGGGAGGAACAGATAACTTAACAGATTCTGAGGATGTATCATGGGGTTGAACGTTGGTAGGAATACCTGTGTCCCATTTACTTGGTTTTTTTGGTTCTGTAAAATAAAAGTATGATAATTTGAATCAAGAATACAAAGTTACATGAAAAGGATTCTGAGTTTTGAGTTATTAGCAATATCGACCTGTCACTGTAATCATGTGGCTAGTAGACTTTATAACGCTCAAATTACACTTTCGAAGAACTGTGTTTATTGATTACAATCGTAATTACAATAGTGATGAATAGGTTATGTGGTTTTTGGAAAGTATGGGTTTCTAGGTTTTTAAAAATAAAGGAAAAGGATTGTCTTTTGACTAACAAAATTTAGATTTTTGATCGACATGCTTATTTTTAAAAGGTTGTGTCTTTTTTTGTCCTTCAAGTAATTATAGCTTTTCTATAATCCTACAAAAAAAGGTTAAGTCATATGTTCCTAGTCTATGGATTATTAAGATTGTATGAAATGTTACTGATGTTACAATCGTAGCTACATTTTAATCCTTTGATCTGAATCGAAATCGTTCAAAGTTGAGAGTAACTGGTGTGAAATTTACATTCAGCGTTCGCTTTATCAATGATACCAGTAGTTAACAGTCTATTTAAAAATCTTACATTTCATTTTGTGTTGGTACTTGCTTCTTCAATAATAGTAAGTCAATTCGCTATCTTCACTAATGCTATGTAGTTTTATTCAGTGGATTTATAAAGGTTACTTCACGAGTCTTCCCACTCTTCTATACCGAAATATATTTGATGGATCTGTAATTGTTAAAACATATCAGTTTACAATGATTGAAAAGACCGTTCTTCGAAATACAGTTAGAGCAAGAACGTCAAAGATTGGTGGAAATGGAATCGACAATTTCTAAGACGCATAGTGGAAACACTAGCGGTAAACGAGTGTAAGGTTCCCTTCTAAATAGTCTATTCCTAAATCTCTATAAACAATGAAAAGGTTTTTACTGCTAGACAAGATTTACAACACAAAGAATGGAAATGTTTATTAACTACATTGTAGAAAGCATTATTTAGGTACAACCTATTACTTTGTATATCATGAATGTTTCCTTCGGGGGTTTGGAAGTGCATGTGAAGTATAATTCACGCCTAACTTACATATCTCCAGGCGTTCATTGAGTACTGGTTTTGTACTCAATTTATGACAATATAACATACTAAACTGACCATTCTATATAACATCCTAGAAATCATACACGAGACTATGTAACAGGTTATCTTAAAAACAGACAAAATTACTTTGAAAATGTAGTAGGTTAGTATAATTTCAATCTCAACTGTTAGAGTGCTAGATTTGTTATTTCCGCCCTTTATTTTTAGACCCTATATTCAGGATTTGTTGATAAGGCAAAAGTGAGCATGAAGCAGATTCTTTTACGAATAACCTTTATAAAGTGATTTACTCATTTGGGGACATCACCACCTACTATAATTAGCAATGAATCAAATCTTTTATATATGAGAAAAAATGTTCTTTTTACATTTACTTACGATTCATGTGTGTTATGACTGTCATATCTACACTTTCTTCAGCATGTTTTTTAAGGGAGAAATAGATATAGTTCAGAAAAATACATTAGCTAACCTATGTACCCCGTAGAAACGGACCCTCCAGATGTAGTAATGGGTTTGTCTGTGCTAGTAATTGGATTTTTAGGTGCATTCGCACTTGTGCTGTTGTTTGCATTCGTTGGGTCAGATTTTTTAAGTTCTTTTTGCATTTTCATCAGTCGGTCGATTTCACGATTTTGCACCTTTGCAAGTTCTTCATAATATGACTGCGGAGTCCAACGATAGGGATCGTATATATCCTGATCAAAGTATGAGTCATAAAGTACTTATGATATATTACGTACAATCAGTCTTCATAAAGTTTCACATAAATGTTTTTACATACAAAGAGTGAATAGTATAAAATAAGCTTGATAAACTCAGCTACATTGGTTAGCAAACAAAGACAGCTTTATGTTTTACCCATAAAATAACATAGGAATCCACATAAGATGCTATTATAATACCACATCAAGCATTGGAAATAACACAATCTGTTTGTATATTCTATCAAAATGAATACTTATCAGTTTGATGGTATTCCAGTGGTTAGGGCGTTCGACTTTCACCCACAGCCGAAGGCTCAAACCTCAATCTCCTTACTGGAGTTTGGGCGATCAATTAGTATTAACAGCCCTCACACCTATGTTGATGTGGTAAGTCAGTGAATAAAGCTATGCACTATCATTGATTTTAACTGTACGTACGTAACGCGTCGTAGCCAACCCCTATACTAGTACGATATGTTGGCAAGACAATAAGTAGATTGGAATCAGGGATTATACTAAGATACGAGACCAGTTTATTAATTCATTAGATATTGATCTGAACCGCGTAGAGGAGATATGCACTTCCTGTCTGAAATATACAAACAAATTGTAATTTATGGCTCAAAATCAGTTGCGGTTACGCGAATGTGTGAGTGGATAATATGGAAAACATCACTATACTAATCTGTGTCTCACTAAAACCCAGAACTACCGTACAGAGATCTTCACACTATTTTAAACATATCAATATTTTATGCCGTTTTTAGGGCATTTATACTTGTTAAACACATAGTTAACACATAAAATGGCCTCTTCTTTACACCTTAATATCAATATAATTTACTAAGCACACGAACACTAGATTAGTATCTATGAATTACATGATATTAGGCATTTGTAACAATAGACTTACTGTAGAGAAGTTAGTTCCTTTCTCGTCAATTTTCAAAAAATCGATCAGCTTTTCATAAATACTAAAATAAAACTGAGTTTATGTTTGTCCACACGCTTACACACCTGGGATTACGGAACGCTTTGTTATCTTGAATTGCTCTGTTAGGATCGTAGCTTATATCCAAGCGCATACGACGCACTGCTCGCTCTACTCTTTCTTGAAGCACCATTGAACAGTGACCAGTAGGTTCAGAGGGCAATTGAACCGCTTGAATAAGGCGTTCTGTAAGGGTAGGACTTTCTGCTTTCGCTTCAATAGTGATTAAGTTTGGATTTTTTACATCATTTACTGGTTCTGAAATATGAACTTGGTTTTGGGACAAGATGTTGATAGGCTGGTCAGAACTGAAAATAGTTGGGGGTCCACCCGAATTATCCAACGGAATATCCATACTACCAAGATGGAATCCATGATCACCTTTTGATTTAGGATCATTTTCACCATCAGAATCAGTGTTCTGATCTGTATCTAACACCGTATGCTCATCATCATCTTCGTCGATGGCGTAGGAAACTAAACCCGAAGGAACTATTGAGTAAAAGGACAAAAAGGAAATGAACTGCATTATACACTTACTTGCTAATCTAGCTTTCTTTGTTGGTACTGATGAGTTATTTGTATCGTTTTCCGCATGTTTATTATCACTTCTTAACGGTTGTACTACTTGCTGACGGTTATCGGAAAAAATGGGTGAGCGCGCTATAATTTATATGAAATCAGTTCAAGAACCATGAAAAGACACTTACAGGTATCTGATAAGACAGCTGGTGTCCGAATACGCTCATCCTCCGAAGTGTATATTGCTGGGATTTGCTCATCTATGGTTTGTTCATATTCTCCTGAAATCCGACATAAAATTAGATTGAGGTAAATGTGGTAAATCTGATAATTGTTGGCAGCGGCGAGGTATAATAGACGACAATAACTAAGCCTAAACTAATAATATCCATTACCATTATAAGCGAAATCTATAGACAAAACAACAGGCGGACATCACAAAGCAAATAACAAACGTAAGGAAGTTTTTTAATATGAAAGAAATAACTAGGTCTACATAAAAATATTCAATTTCGCTATATATTTTGGGTAAATAGTTTAATCATATAGAAGATATCAACTTTGGAAGAAAAAACAATTGGTAAGACAGACAATGAACAACAGCGCATTTAATAGTAAACTAAATGTGATGAAGTTTTTCTTATGATATGAAACCCATTACCTGATTCGTTAAACAGACTTCCGTTTATATCCATATGATCTAAAATAGTAAACAATAAATCCAATGAGATTTCAAATTAGTGTAAAAGTACTGTGTTCAATCGCTTCAAAGAGTCTACCCAATTGAAAACAAATATATAGATTAAATAATCTACTGATAAGTTTAAAATTTTAGTAGCTTTTTATTGAGTTACATATTTGGTGATTAAGTAGAAATCCATTATTTACGCAACAATGTGGTTATAAACAATCTTATAGATCTATACACTCATTTAACACCGCCTGCAGTTCTTTTAAGGTCACTGTCGGTCCCAAACTCGGGTATAGAAGGGTTGAGAATGGGGTCAGCAACCCCATCCCGCAGAAAACTTTGCTGAAAAAAGTCTAAACCATTTAAACTCTGCCCTCCTAGTTGAATGATTGTCATTCAGAAGAATAATAGGGCCTCATGATGAAAACCAAGATTCTTCAGAAGTCACGAGGCCGATGCTCCTTCTGACAACCAGAGCAACAATTAATATAGGCACATGGAATGTCCCGGCAGTGTGGGAGGATCAACCAAATAGCTGCAGAAATGAGGAGACACAACTTAGCGGTGCTCGGAATAAGCGAAACAGAAAAGATTGAATTCAGGAGAGATGCTGCTGTACTACGGTCACGAGAAGGAAAGTGCTTTCCACACACAGGGAGTTGCCCTGATGCCCTTTAAAGAAGCACGAAATGCATTTATACGATGGGAGTCTAATGAGTCCAGAATCACCATAGCACCCATCAGAACAATGAAGGCAATCAAAAGAAATGTTGTGCACCTACCAATGATAGCAACGATAAAGATCAGTTCTATGAGAGGTTGCGATCAATCATAGTGAAGTACCCAAGAAAGGATCTCGCCATCCTAATGAGAGACCTAAATGCCAAAGTCGGAATGGACAACACCAGCTAGTCAGCTACAACGTAGTACCAGGCACATATATGCATCGGTCCAGGTTGCCATACCGCATTAGCACAGCAAGATGAACACCGGATTCATAGGAGTGGTTAGGTCAAAGGTGGTAATATATCGGGGAAAGATTGCATATAAGGGTATAGTATAGGGAGAAAGAATTAGTTAGTAGAAAGAAATATATGAAGTGATTTTAATCTCTTAGTTTAAGGGAAGACAAGGAGTGTATACACCTACGCCATTGTGGTCGATTCTGAGCCATGCCACCAAGAGTCTCCAACCATTGGTTACGAAAGTCACGCGGACCCCAACCAAGTAGTCTGTACCTACCAAAATGACTTAGACTAGAAGTTAGTGACTTCAAGCACTGACGCCACGTTTTGGTTTGGCCGCCCCTAACTTTCTTCCAACTATCTCCAACACCGGTTAGCATTGCACGTCGTGGTAATTGATGTTCAGGCATACGTAACACGTGGCCCAACCATCTCAGTCGATGAAGATTCACAACCTCATCAACTGATTTACCATCATTCCCTAATACCCTACGTCTAACCTCACTATTACTTACCCGGTGATCCCAGCAGACGCCAGCAATATTTCTAAGGCATCTGTAACCAAATACTAGTAGCTTACGAGTGTCTTCTACTCTTAATGGCCATGTTTCGCTGCCGTAAATTAAAACAGAACGGACTGTCGCGCAGTATACTCGTCCTTTTATTGATAGACGGATATCTCGCCTTCGCTATAGGTGAGGTAAGTTGGCAAAAGCCAAACGAGCTTTTCGAATCCGTGCTGAGATTTCGTCAGACACCAACCCATTAGGGCTGATCAGACTTCCAAGATAAGTGAAGTTGTCAATGCGTTCGACTACTTCACTCCCTATCCATAGTTCAGGTAAGTCACTCATCATCAACGTAGAACATCGTACGTACGTACATCAGTTCGAGTTGCCATACCACATTAGCACAGAGATACAATTGTCGATTTAAATTCCATAGTGGTAGAAGTAGTAAATATATAGGCAGTAATCGGAAAGATAAGTGCTTGAAGATATTATTCAAGGGGTATAATCCAGTGAAATAAATTTGGAAAGAGGAAAAAAGGGACATGAAGAATTCAGAAGATTAGAATTTGGGAGAACACAAAGAGAGGTTGCATCTGCGTCATTGCAAACGATTTTGAGCCATGTCATTCAGGGTCTCTAACCATCGGTTGCTATCATCTCGCGGTCCCCAACCAGGTAGTTTACACCTGCCAACATGACTCAGTCCACTTGTCAGTGACTTCATGGACTTGTGACATGTTTGGGTCTGGCCGCCCCTAGCTTTCTTTCAACCTACTCCTATACCACTGAACATCGCACGTCGAGGCAGTCGGTAGTTGGGCGTACGTAACACATGTCCCAGCCATCTCAACTGATGACGTTTCACTACGTCATCAATTGATTTGCCATCCTTACCTAATATTCGTTCCATAACAACTGCATTACTTACTCTGTGGTCCCAGGATATACGAGCAATGCTTTGAAGACAGTATAGCTCGGCTACTTCATCAAAATAGGCAAGCCCGATCACTACGTCAAGGTAGCAACGACGGTTGATTACATCGATATTTAACTTTCATCATTGCAGTAAGCAATGACTGAAAATACGTAACAACTACAGCGAAAACCACGTCCAAGTCATTGCTATTTACTTGGTGAATGAATACGTACTGGCCCAAGAGAACATGAAACATTATTTTACACTCAAAAATCAAGTACGGGTTTAGGTGCTCACTTTTCAACAATGACAATTTGTACAACACTGTCGAACGTGAAGTTTGAAAAATTGTGTTTGAATGTAGTGAGTTATGTAAAGGTATTTTCCCTGACTTGTGTATCGCAAATAACAGATTAATTTAACTAGTCAATTATAACCATCACTAACGAAGGCTGTCAATAATACTCAGCTGAACATTGCCATGTGCGCAATTACAGGACAAAAAATGAAACCACGACAACCCTGTTTGTTAGTGGTGAAGGCCCGTAAAATTTTGAATGAAACTGACGAACCCCTGTTAGTGTATATACCCGTCCCTATCTCTCTATTTCGGGGTTTTCCTCAGAACTGGGGAAATTTTGGGGTTTCTGTGCCATTTCCTTGGAACAGACAAATCCTCCCCCAAAATAGAGAGATTGGGTTCAGGCACTATTGTATTTTTATAAACTTATTCAGTTGGAGAGACACAACTACGGTCTTTGGGTTTTTTAACCTCTTTAGTTTCAGTTTCAGTTTGGGAAGGACAGGAGGCTCGATGACTTATATTAGTCCTGGCAATGGTGGTCTCTCAGTTGATCCAACTTTCTTTTGAAAGAGTCGACGGATGGAGCCTCAACCACGTGCTGAGGTAGTGAATTCCACTCGTTGATGATTCGATGGGAAAGTCGATAGTCAGCTGACAAGTAATTTGTTCTCGGCTTGTGAACTTTCGTGGAGTGTCCTCGTAAATTCTGTTTTGGAAGACAAGAAAAATGAGGGCACGTTAGGTGCAAATTTATCACTAAGCAATTTGTAGACTGTAATCAAGTCGCCTCTAGTTCTGCGATATGACAACGGGAAAAGGTTCAGCTTGGCCAGTCGAGATTCATACGGAAGCTTCGCTATTCCGGGAACCAGCTTAGTCGCCGTTCTCTGAACCTTTTCCAGAAGCTCACTGTCTTTTTTTAAGCAGGGGCTAGCCGCTTGTATGCAGTACTCAAGTTTAGGACGAACGAACACTGTATACAAAGTCAAAAACGTCTTAGCGTCGACATGACTAAAAGCCCTACGTATTGACCATAACGTTCTAAAACTTTTGGCGGCTATTGCACGGCAGTGTGCAGTAGTCTTTAAGTCTTGACTAACGATAACTCCTAAGTCATTATATGTCTGGACGACAGGTAGCTCAGTGTTATTCATCGTGTATGTATCTTTGCCTTGATGACCGATATGCATCACAACACACTTGGAAGTATTTATCGGCAACTGCCATGTTTGAGATCATTCAGATAACCTCTTCAGGTCATTTTGAAGTTCTAAGCTATCACTCTTACATCGTATCGTTTTCCATGTCTTGACATCGTCAGCATATAGCAAGACCGATGATGATAGGAGACAAGGAAGGTCATTTACATGCAAGAGGAATAGCACTGGCCCCAAAACTGTACCCTGGGACACTCCACTAAGCACAGTTTCCCAGCTAGATAACTTTGAGTTCACCCGAACTCTTTGTTGACGCCCAACTAAGAAGTCTTTTATCCACATCAATAAATTGCCTCTAATCCCGACTTTTCTTAACTTATATAACAGCCGGTTGTGCGGAACTTTATCAAAAGCTTTACTGAAATCAATGAAGGCGACGTCTACAGGTAGCTTTTGGTCCTTAAGAGCACACCAGCTTTCATGAGCCACTAATAAGTTAGTGAGACAAGAATAACCTATTCTGAAGCCGTGCAGCTTCTCCGAGAGGATCCGGTTTTTATCGAGATACTTAAACAGCTCCTTCCGAATAATCCTTTCTAATATTTTAACAACCACACTAGTTAGGCTAACGGGGCGGTAGTTCTCAGGTTTGTGTTTCGTGCCTGTTTTGAAGACAGGACTTACTATGGCGTTTTTCCAATCTTTCGGTAAGCGACCCTGCGTAACGGATAGGTTAAAGCATGTACTTAAAGGGCTTGCGACGAAGTTAGATAATTCCTTCAGTAGCCTAGGATGTAATTCATCGGGCCCCGTGGATTTACCTATGCCAAGCTTATTTAGCAGACCAAAGACATCGAGTTCTTTAATGGTCACACTATCCAGTGTATGTATGGGGGGATCTGTATACGCTGACGAGAAGGGCGCTTCTATGGTACACACGTTGCTAAAGTAGTTCGAGAACGCTTGAGCCTTACCAAAGTCGTCCTCCACTAATGATAAAGCAGTACTGTCTCCCCATAGAGCAGGAATATTTCCTTTTCTCCTTGTCCTTTGGTTTATATAGGAATACAAGCGTTTAGGACATTCTATGGATTCCTTAACAAGTTTTTCTTCGTACAATTTTCTAGACTTACGGAGGGTCGAGGCACAAGTGTTCCGAGCCTTTCGATACTGAGATTTTGACTCATCAGTCCCCAGTAACCTAAATCTATCCCACATTTTCCTTTTCTTACGGAGAAGGATACAGACCTCCCTACTGAACCATGGTGGTGATTTTTTTCGGCCCCTTTGGTATAGTCCAAGGGATGTGAGGTGTGGTAACTTTTAGGTATGAATTTCGAAATGTGTCCCAGGCCGTTTCAATGGAGGACTCTGGGTCTATTGTCCAATCTATTAACGATGCTGAGTGCATGATGTCTGGTATGTTTGCTTTCCAGACGTTGGGCCTGGACTGGACTGACGCGTCCTCATGACTGGCAGTTATATGGAAGTCGGAAGTTAAAACTGCGTGGTCACTCTTACCTAAGGGTGGCATATGATGGAGGTTCGCAACATCATCCTCATAGTGAGTCAGTATAAGATCTAATAAGGATGATTCAATGTCCGGATCGTACCCTGTCGCTTCTTTCACATGTTACACTAGAGCACATGTGATAACCCCATCAACTAGTTCCTGCTCGAAAGAATTCTCCGACGATTTAGTTCGCAGATTTTCCCAGTCTACCATAGGTGCATTAAAGTCCCCTAGGATTAGACATCGACCACTTTGGGACCAAGTATTGAGACTGCTTAACAGGATCTCATTTGCCTCACAGCTTGGACTGCGATAGACCAGATTCTAAGAAACCACTGCTATAAAAATTACAGAGCCCAATATTAGTTCCTCAGATGCATGTATATCTAATCTCCCGACTTTGCACGCATACATTTATACATGCATATGCATGCATGCATACATATACATATATTCCAAATGCATTTGGGATATGGTGTTGTGTTGGTGTGTATTGGATAATTAAGCAGCCATCAAACGACTAGGCAGAGTAAAGACCCTCCACACATGATATGCAGTTACATTGCTTTGTCTACGACACAAGATGAAATAATAGAACAGATACCGAAGTGAGCACTTACCGTAACCTTGAACAGACCAACGCGCGTTAGCTAAATGGTTCAGTCATCGGTAATAAGAATAGTAGGTTGGTGAACCTGTTGTAATTCTGACAGTTTGCGTTCCAATGAAGTTCTGGCTTCTCCTTGAAAATATTCACTGGTGGGTCTGATACCATTTGTCCGGGTAAGGCGTTTCAGTCATTGACCACTCGATGAGAAAAACGGAACCCCACATTAAGTTTATTAGATCGCAGTTTATGAACCTTCTAGCTATGACCTCGAAGATTAATAATACTGGAGGACGCAAAAAGATAATACATATTGACACCCAAATCGTAATTAAAGATACGAAATTCCGGTATAAGGTCACCCCGCGTCCTACGATACAACAAGGGGAAAGGTTTAGGCGTTTTAAACTTCCATCGTGAGGGAGTCTAGAACTGCCCTTACTAACTTGATTCCCACACGTTGGACACGCTGCTTGGATACAGTACTCTAAATGTGGGCCTACATTGGGGGGATATAAAATTCGAAACATTTCCTCGTCGAAGCATTTGAATGCTCGGTGAAGTGACCACAACACACGAAAACCTATGACAGCAGCTACATTGCAATGAGTAGCTGTTTTCAAGTCACGACTTATTATTACTCCTAAGCCTTTATGTTCTTGAACGCATGGAGGAGGTTTGTCATCAATAGTATAATGGTAACTACTACCGCGACCGATGTGCATTATCACACTCTTCTTGTAGTTGATTTCTAAGTTCCAACCTCGAGCCCATCTAACTAATTCGTCTAAATCAGCTTGCAGATTCAAATAATCAGCCTCACTTTTTACTGCTCCTCGAATTTTGACACCATCCAAAAACAGTGATGTTGATGACTTAATCAATGGCGGTAACTAATTAACGTAGAGAAGGGAAGATAGACCTAATATGTTGCCTTGGGGTACACCACTTTTGACCGGCTTCCATTCGGATAGCGTTCCATTGACCCTCACTCCCCGTATGCAGTCACGTGAGAAGTTTCCTATCCATTCCTATACAGCGTCTATTATCGCAAAGCTCAAGAGCTTCTGCATAAGACCCAAGTGTGAAACCTTGTTAAATGCTTTGCAAAAATCTATGAATATCACATCGGCAGACAGACCTTGGTCTAAGGCTGCTGTCCAATCCTATATCGCAATAAATTAGTAGCGTGAACGCTTGTTACAAAATCCATGTTTCTGATGAGTTAACAGATTGAGTGAATCTGTGCGACTTAGCAACTTAACCCGAGCCATCTTTTCAAGTAACTTAACGACTATACTGGTTAGATTGACAGGCCGGTAATTAGACACGATCTGTCTCTGACTATCCTTAAATGCAGGACTGATTATAGCGTCTTTCTAATCTCTAGGTAATTGGCGAGTGAGAGGGACATGTTGAAGAGTGTCGCGAGCGGTTTTGAAATAATGTCCGCAAGCCGTGGATGTAACACGTCAGGGCCCGGTATCTTACAAAGTTTGAGGTTAGTTATCAATGGAAGGACAGTTTCCTCAGTCACTTGTACAGATTCAATGGCAATGTGACAGCTTACGTGCTAACCGTTAGATAAATGGTGACGTTACGGACTCGAATGCAGCCTTAAACTTATTCCATTCGTCTTCGATCGATCCATCCGCGTCGACCGACTAATCTGTCGAGATAGCACAGGCTCTGATTGCCGGAACATTAGCTCGCCAGATATTGGGACGGGGTGGGGCAGATGCAAATTGTATACCATGTGTCCCAAACTTAAAGTAAAGTACAACGTGATCACTGTTCACTAGTGGGGGAATTTGCTGAATATCAAAGACATCCTCATAGTGGTGGGTGAGGGCAAGGTCATGCAGTGACGGATCATGTTGAAAACCAAAATGTGCCGGTTTTGTGACACATTGTACAAGTGCACACTGAATAGCGGTTGATAAAAGGTCGCTATCGAAACCAACACCTGTAGCTGTAAGCTCTATCCAGTTGATATGCAGTGCGCTGAAGTCCCCAATAATGAGACATTCTGCTATACTCCAAGAACAGGTGTGTCTTAAAATAAAGTCGTTAGCAAGACAACGCGGACTACGGTATATTCTCCCTATAGTAACTAACCCATTTCTCAATTTAATTTTACAACATGCTACCTCACATGTACCACTAACATGCGCCTCCGATATGACTGATTGTATACGAAAGTGATCCCTAACATATAACATTATGCCTCCCCCCTTGCGACTCAAGACTCTATCACTTCTAATGCAGATATAGTCTGCAATGATGGGGGAACATTCTATATCTACGGTGAACCAAGTTTCTGTAACAACAATTATATCAGGACTTAACTCATCCACCATCAGACTTCGCTTGTACGTTTTATTTCTAAGACTATGGGCGTTCGTGTAGCACACACTTAAGGTGTTTTGGTAATCATTCGTTCTACCAATACAGGCCTCGGAAGCATTGGTTTCCAAGACCTGACTACCCGAAAACCTTTAATGGTAAGGTTAGTTTCGCCATTTAACTTGCGAGTTCTCAACTCCGTAAGAGCATTCTTCTACTTGATTCGATACTCAAGCGGCCAATCTGGTCGGATACGAATATTTGAATCACGAGTTCGATTCTGGATATTAGCCACTGGGATCTTACAATTAATTTTCACTGTAACAGAGACATGGGAGTCGAGTGAGTGACTCATAGCAATTATGGTGTAGTTTTGTTCTCTGAGCTGGATGGTTTGGTCGTGGAGCTTTCATCGTTCTTCTGAACGACATCATCAGCACAAACTTTAGATAGAAGTGAAGTGTTCGAATTTCTCCATATATGTTTCACAGCTTGTTCTGTGCACCTCGATGTTGATTGGTTCTTGTTGACCTTAAATTTATCATTGTTTACTTCTTTGTTTTGGTTGTGTCTCCGATTGGTTTGATTTTTGTTCCTATATTTATGCATGATTTTCCTGATTGGTTGATAAATTGGATTGACTTCAATATGTTTGTTGATTGCTGATCGAACTGAGTGCCAAGCTTCTAAAAATTGTCTGGTGTTTTTGGGGTTTCCTCTGTCTAAGATTTCTACATTTTCCCAATCGAATGAGTGTCCGTAGTTATCCACGTGTATTGATATAAGTGAAGAGATACCATGGCGTCTAACTGCTAATTGATGTTCATGTAGGCGTAGGTGGAGGGGGCGTCCGCTTTGTCCGATGTAGTGTTTGTCGCAGTTGGTACAATTTATTTTGTAGATGATGTTTGATTTGTTTTCCTTTGTTATTTTATCTTTTGGTTTGCATAGGATTGACCGTAGAGAACAAAACTCCATCAAAATCATCCACCTGAGCTACAAATCTTCTCCACCATCTCAAAATCATATGAGCGTAATACGCTTCTCGTTGTTCGAAAATGGGAGAATTTCGCCAAAAGGCAGGCTTCTACTCGAGAACAACTACATTTTCTCCATGAGTGTCTTCGCCAGCATGTTCTACCAACAAGTGTAAGATATAGACCTCCAATCAACTGCCCATTAGGATGGAGGATAGCCGAGCAAAGTGGAAGAAAAATGGTACACCTAGTGATAACGGATACACACTACAGGATCTGCATTTTCCCAATCGAATGAGTGTCCGTAGTTATCCACGTGTATTGATATAAGTATTCGTGAAATTTCTTTTGACAAACTGTATGTTGGCGTTCCGGGGAGTGCTACTATTGGACGTAGTGGAATGTTTGGTTTGTGTATTTTGGGTTTACCGTAGAATCGAGGGAGTACTGGTCCACTGGATTTCATTCTCGATTGGTCTTCTTTTGTTATTTCTCCTGCTTTGACTAGCTTGTTTAAAGTCTTTGAGATTTGGTTGTCTAATTTTTTGACGGGATTTGTGTCCATCAGTTTGTATGTGCTCTTATCTTCGATTAGTTCTTCGGCTTTGTTGACGTATTCTTCTTTGTCCATGATTACTATAGTGCGTCCTTTGTCCGCTGGTATTATGACAATATCTTTTCTATTTCTGAGTTCTTTCAAGGCCTTTTGTTCTTGTGGAGTCAGTTGGTTGTTTTCTTTCACTTGTTGAGTTATCGGTACTATAGTTTGCCTTATTTCTTGTTGTGTTTCTTCACCGATTCCGGAAGTTTTGAGTGATGACTCTAGTGCTGCGAAGAACTCCAGCTTTGAGGCGTCGCTTGTATTGTAGTTTAATCCTTTTTGGAGCAGGTGTTCTTCCGTATTTGTTAGTGGTTGTTTTGAAAGATTGATCACGCAGTTGTTTGTGTTTACTTCCATGGATGGTTTTGAGATCTTGATTAGTTTTTTCTTCAAGGTGCTTCTTCTTTGTTCTCTATGTTGTTTGCATGATATCTCGATGGCTGTTGTCACGATTTCCAAATGTTCAGATGTGAGCATCCTTTGTAACTTTATCTTTTGGTCCTCTATGACCTGTTGGTATTTGCAGATCCTGTAGTGTGCATCCGTTATCACTAGGTGTACCATTTTTCTTCCACTTTGCTCGGCTATCCTCCATCCTAATGGGCAGTTGATTGGAGGTCTATATCTTACACTTGTTGGTAGAACATGCTGGCGAAGACACTCATGGAGAAAATGTAGTTGTTCTCGAGTAGAAGCCTGCCATTTGGCGAAATTCTCCCATTTTCGAACAACGAGAAGCGTATTACGCTCATATGATTTTGAGATGGTGGAGAAGATTTGTAGCTCAGGTGGATGATTTTGATGGAGTTTTGTTCTCTACGGTCAATCCTATGCAAACCAAAAGATAAAATAACAAAGGAAAACAAATCAAACATCATCTACAAAATAAATTGTACCAACTGCGACAAACACTACATCGGACAAAGCGGACGCCCCCTCCACCTACGCCTACATGAACATCAATTAGCAGTTAGACGCCATGGTATCTCTTCACTTATATCAATACACGTGGATAACTACGGACACTCATTCGATTGGGAAAATGTAGAAATCTTAGACAGAGGAAACTCCAAAAACACCAGACAATTTTTAGAAGCTTGGCACTCAGGTCGATCAGCAATCAACAAACA